TTTCTTTCTTTCTTTCTTTCTTTCTTTCTTTCTTTCTTTCTTTCTTTTTCCTTCCTCCCTCCATTCCATTCATCTCTAGAATGTTTATGGCTGGATTGGACATAAATTAAAGAAGGGCAGCTATTTAGAATATTAATCTTCAATACAAGTTAATTTGAGAAGGACCTTCCATTTCAGAAGATGACGCTGAATTTGCCAACATTGTCATTTTTCTCAATGTGGATCTATGACATATGGCAAAAGTGCTGCTTTTCCCACATCACAACAGATCTGTCTCCTGAATTAAAATAAATGTGTGAAGGGAGGGAGAATGCCTCTAATTAGAGTTAAGCTCTTGCCAATTAGTCACCTTGACCTGTCTTTAGTGATAATTCATAGAGGAAATTAAAGCAATTGAATTAAGTGGCCTGTTTTCTGTTCTCTGAATCCCTAAGGAGGGAGTGGTTGCATGTACTGTCAGTCTGATCCATTATAACACCCCTTCTTTTCTTCTGTTTGTGTTTAAACCTGCAGAGTGCTATAGAATCCTTGCTTGGAGCTTCGATCACTGGAGTGGTCTACTCTCTCTTTGCTGGCCAGCCTCTCACCATCCTGGGAAGTACTGGACCAGTACTGGTTTTCGAGAAAATTTTATTCAAGTTCTGCAAGTAAGGCTATGTACTTTTACAAGGGATGATGGCGATGAATCTAATAGAGATAATTTAACTAACCCATTTCTAACTGCTGACCTCTCAATCCTTTTTTATAAAACAAAACAAAATATGAGCACAGTTAGGCAGCAGTGTTATAAGCTGGGATTCATTTGAATGCACAGGAAGCCTGAAATGCTAGTAGAGCAGAAAATGTGAAATTCTGATATGATTTTGATGCACGTATGGATATATCATAGTGTATCTGAAGAGAAGTAGTGTCTCATCCCCTTCCACTTCCTAGGAATAGTTATGGTTAGTATTCCCAACCCAGGTACTAATTGTGAGCAGTTATTTCTCTCCTCCCTTCAGATTCAAACCCTGGCTCTGATGGATAACAACAACTCCACATCCAGAATAGTAGACAGAGGTAATCTAATCTGGAATGCTGACAGATTCCTATCAAAAACATATGTGGCCAAAAATATTACAGACTTTTAAAATGTGCCACGTTGCCTGGGAGTTCCCTCATTGATTCTTCAATGGATTATTCCACTCATATTCTATGAGCTCCAATTCCTGCTTAAATCATTGTGGATTTAATCAGAAGGCTTCGTGGCTTGTGAGAAATAGGCTGAATGAAGAGAAGAGTTGAACCATTTATTTATAATTTATGCAGTTTTGAATTTGATACTAGCTTTGTGATGATTCTAAGGTGGAAATTTTAGAATGTTTAAGGTGCTATAGATGGCAATCATTTATCAATAACCGACCCATATCAATGTATATAGTTTCAGTCATTACAGGTAGTCCTTGTTTACTGACCACTTGTTCAGTGACTGTTCAAAGTTGCAACAAGAAGTTACAAGTTATAAAGAAGACTGATGACCAATCTTGAAGTAGTAGCTGCTGCTTCATCCCTGCAGTTATGTGATTCCCATTTGTGACTTCCATGGCCGGCTTGTGATGAGTAAAGTCAATGGGGAAGTGAGCAGACAGTTGCAAGGCACAGTCATACAGTGTTACGTTTAATGTCGGGTGATTAGCTTAATGGCCACAGCCAGAACTGATGAACTGATGTAATATGAGTCAGTTGCCAAGTGCTGAATTTTGATCATGGGGATGTTGCAATGGTTGTAAGTGTGAAAAACAGTCTTAAGTCATTTTATTCAATGCCAATGTAAATTCAAACGGTCACTAATGAACTGTTGTAAGTCAAGGACTACCTGTATTGCCACTTTCTATCAAAAGGATAGGACTGGAGGAAAGATCAAGTAATGGACAACTGGTGAAGCTTAACAATTTCTGTATTTCAATACTTTTACAATTTTATGATCAGAATTATTCCAGCATGTAATGTTTCTTGTTTCTTATCTTTGGCACCACTTCTTTGCAGAGACTATAAGCTTTCTTATCTTGCTCTGCGAACCTGCATTGGCCTGTGGACAACATTCATGTGCCTCGTGCTCGTGGCCACCGATGCTAGCTCTCTGGTCTGCTACATCACTCGGTTTACAGAAGAAGCTTTTGCCTCTCTGATCTGCCTCATTTTCATTTTTGAGGCCATAGAGAAGCTGTTTAAGTTGGGAAGGACTTACCCATTTTACATGGATAGCAATCTGGACCATCTGACTTTCTATTAGTGAGTCGGTGTTGTTTCTTCTATTTTGAACAAAAAATGCCTTACTGTACTTTAGTTGCTTTGCTTCCATATATTTAAACTCATCAGTTGGCGTAAGATTCCTTATTGTGCAGAAATGGCAATAATACTTAGACTTATATACCCCCCACACTGCCTTACAGCACTCTCTGGGATATTTACAATGTCAGCATGTGGCTCCCAACAATCTGCGTTCTCATTTTACCCATCTCAGAAGCTAGAAGGCTGAGTCAACTGTGAGCGCTGTCAGGATTGAACTCCAGGCTGTGGGCAGAATTAGCCTGCAATACTGTATTCTAACCACTGCGCCACCAGAGCTTCCTAAATAAGAAGCAAGGAAGGCAACTATCACCTAACAATAGTTAGATAAGAATTAGTGTATAGTAGATTCACTGGAACAGATATAGAATCTCTACTTAGGACCTTGCAATGAAAGCTTGAGATAATATATAGCATGAATGGGCAATTTATATCCCTAGGTTGAAGCCCCTTTTTGAGCTCCAAAAATGAGAGGTCTGCACAGGTTGTCCTGTATTTGGGATACCTTTCTTGACTCACTGTTTGTCCTTCTTGAATTCTGGTGAGGGAGGACAACTGGTGATTGTTTTTTTGTTTTTGTTTTTTGCATTTGTTTGACTAAGACCTTACTTCTTCTGAATCATAGACTACAGCAAGAATGCTCTTTGGGTCTCAACAAAGATAAGTTGAGCACTTTTTAAGAAAACACTGAGGAGAGCAGCAGCACAGTACATGTAGTTAGTATGTATGGTTCTATTGTTCGCACAATTTATTTTATAATTTATGCAAGCCTGGGCAATGATTCTCTCAGATTCTTTGATCCATTGAAAGAGGCTCAATATTTCCTTTGATAGTAGGGGGATGACTTATGGAGGAAATAATTTAAATTTGGACAGAGCTGATTTGATAGACAATTCAGACAATTCCTATATTATTATTATTAATATTATTATTATTATAGTTTATAAGAAGAAATTGGACAACCATTTGTCTGAAATGATATACCGTATTTGCCGGCGTATAAGACGACTGGGCGTATAAGACGAGCCCCCAACATTTCCACTCAAAATATAGAGTTTGTTATATACTCGCCGTATAAGACGACCCCCCCCCCACTTGGAGGCATGTTTTTCAGGGCAAAAAAGTCGTCTTATACGCCGGCAAATACGGTAGGGTTTCCTGCCTGAGCAAGGGGTTGGACTAGAAGACCTCTAAGGTCCCTTCCAACTCTGTTATTCGATTCAATTCTATATTATTAAAATGAAATTGTGCTTTCATACAATTGTTGATTAGTTTTATCTTGAATTCATAAAGATTGAAATACTTTTTTAAAGTCTGCAGTGTACAAAATGTGTATAAAATACTTTGAATTCAATTGCCTCAAATGGGTTCCCCATTTTCCTTTTGATCCTGCAACAGTTGTTATAAAACAACTGTTTTACCTTGACACAGGTTGTGGCCATCACTTTGGAAGAGTTTTGAACTCCGAAATGAAATCATCCAAAGGCCAACAACTTCCCAAGTATATGTGGCCAAGTGATTTCTTTGCTATTTCATCCATCTTCAATTGAGCCAAATGGTAATTTGTCATGTGATTTGTAAACTCACGCGAAAGTATTAAAATGTTCAAGGTTCTACATTACCTGCTTACTACCTTCAGCTCAGGTTAGACAAATAATTGATGGCCAGTATGGATGAAGGGTTAAATACATTGGACTAGGAGCAGAGAAACCTGAATTCGAGTCCTGCTTTAGGCATGGAAGCTAGCTGAATGACTTTGGGCCAGTCCCTCTCTCGATCCAACCCATCTCATTCAGGTAGTTATTGTAGGGAAAATAGGAGGAGGAAACATGACATGCTGAATTTATTAAATTATGACAAAATACAATTTAGAACAAGTCAATAGAAGCTTTCAAAAGTTGTTGGACCAGAGACTTGGGCTTTCAGAAGTAAATATGGTTTGATGCGTAATGCTCATTAATCCTTTTCTGTGCCCACTAGCTGCAGATGTACAGCTCCTACACATCCCAGTAATGATACCCTGATGTACTGGAGCAGTCAGAATATCAACCCTTCCAAAGTTGCCTGGGCTAATCTCACTGTTTCTGTAAGTATATGAGCTTGATCCTGTATGCATAGCTGAGAAAATGATTTCTGTGATAATGCTATTTATTGATTAGAATGGAACATTAGTCTTTGTAAAAGGGATGAAGAATTACATACATTTCCTTTCCACAAAACCAGTGATGGAGGGAAGGAAAGTAATTTTTGATGGGAAGACCTGTATATATTAGGAATTGGTAATAGGATTTTTTTTTAATTAAGTTCCTCTGGGGCTTCTTTTCTTTTAAAATGAAAGCTGGCATATTAAGTAGTCTATTTAAAAAGAATTGAGCTTTTCCCCTCACAGGTTAGATTGTGGCCTGTTTGGATGGATGTTAGAAATGGGATAGTGTAGAATTATGAAGGTGGCTGTTAGCTAGAGGTCTCTGTAATGAGCCCTGTTATTGCAAATCACTAGGAAGAGACATGTGATGTTGACTATACTTTACTTGATTTGCTTCAATATATTTAAATTTTCAAAGAGCGTAAATGCATTCATGGAATAATTATCTAGGTACTTGCTACATTGCCAAAGGAAATCGTAAAGCAGGAGTGTCATACTTGATCCCATTGCCGGCTGTATCATTGTTTGCCCTTGGGGGGCTAGGGTGGGTGTGGCCTGGTCATCGTGGCTGACTGGGTGGGCGTGTCTGGGGTGGGACGGGAATGGGGCGGCATGAGCCAGTCCCTTGCCATCTCCAGGATGGCTCCGCGGGACAACTCTAGGCCTATTGTGGGCCGAATTCGGCCCGTGGGCCCTGTGTTTGATACATCTGCCATAAAGTAACCAGATCCTTGGTCTAAATTCAGCATGTTTCTCCTTTTCTTCTTGCTTATTTTGATAACTGAAGATCTAAGCCAGGAGTCTTCAAACTTGACAGCTTTAAGACTTGTGGACATTAACTCCCAGAATTCTTCCTCCAAACATGTTAGTTAAGGAATTCTGGGAGTTGAAGTCCACAAGTCTTAAAGTTGCCAAGCTTGAAGACCCTTGCTCTAAGCCATTAATACTTTTGTGTGTGTGTGTGTGTGTCTTCAGATGAAATGAAAAAAATTGTAGATATTTGAAAAGTAGTAATTATCCTTTTAAGCAATTTTGACAAAACTAATTTTTGAATTAAAACTGAAAACAGCCGTTCTTAAGTTGGCTGGCCATATATGTATTCTATTCTGCTTATGTTTGTCAAATGCTATGCAGCTGATTATCTGAACTATAATTAAGCAATTACTTATAAAATGATTGGATTTGTGGTATTTCATGCTTTTAATAAATACCACTGCATAGTATTTGTTAAACTATATAAGCTTCTATGCTCTTATATTTGTTTCACTTTGACTTAATTAGGACTAATAAATCGGGCAAATTCAATATTTCTACAGGTACCTTTAAATGGGACAGATATTTTGTGGGGGATACTTTCAGACTAATCAATTCTTCATTTGGTTTTAATGTAGAGGGTGTGAATATACCGTATTTCATTTCATTTTAATTTCATTTTGATGTACACCTGATATGTTTTAATGTGATGCTAAAATTTAAACATTTTTTTTATGCACGCACTGACAACATTCTGGATTGTGAAGTTAATATTTCCCCCTAAGCATTATTAAACTGCGCAAATTGCATCTAAAGGTTCTTGTTGCTTGGGAAGAGAACACTACATTTAACTGAAATTGAGATCTAATTTTGGTTCTTGCATGGTTTTCTTCATTTGAGAATTAAGGAGCTTTAATGTATTTAGATGCTTATTATAGTTTATCCACCATTAGCCCCATATCTTCACTGAAGTCACTGTACTCTTTTGCTACTGTTCCTTTTTAATTTCTTTTGTCCAATCAGCAATGTCAGCAGATGCATGGAGAATTCATAGGATCTACATGTGGAGCCACAGGACCTCTTACCCCTGATGTTCTTTTGTGGTGCTGCATTTTGTTCTTTACTACCTATATTTTGTCAAGCACACTGAAGAAATTTAGGAGCACTAAGTATTTCCCCAAAAAAGTAAGTAGATTCCAGCAGCATTTCTCAATAATGGTGATTAGCCTGCTTTTCTCTATAATGATGATTAGCCAGATGGATTTCCTCAAATGCATAATTATCTCTAGAGATAGGTGGCCTAAGCAGTAAATTTGATAAATAAATAAAAATACCATTGTTGGAAATTGAAAGGAATCCCTCCCCTCATTTCTAGGCACAATCTGCATTCAGATGGAAGTCTAGTTCTCTTTGTTTTTCTGTTTTTGTTGTCTTACCTACATATTTTGGTCTTAAAAGTCAGTGTTATCCTTGGGTTGGGAACAGGGATATCTTTGTATACCAATTTCAGGGGAACAGTGGTGGGAGGAGAATATGTTTCTGCCTTCCCCTTTCAGGTACTCCAGAGGCAATTGTTGGTCACTGTAAGAAGCGAAAATCTGGGCTAAGAAGGGCATTGACCAGATTTATTTAAAACATTTAAATAGCTGCCCATCTTAAAAACAGCTAGGTGGCTCACAACCAATAAAATAACATGTAGTGTAAAACTAAAAACTAAAATAATATAAACACAACAGTAAAACTAAAAACAGAAAAACCTGGTGCTACAGCCACACTTCTTTAATGCAGCCACATTTCTTGTCCCACCCTAACCTCATTCTGTTCCAATATCTAGGGAAGAGCCAGATTTTAAATGATCTCTGGAAGGATAGAGGAATAGGAACCTGTCAGTTCTCAAAGGGGAGACTATGTTTCATAGGGCAGAGTTTGCAATGAAAAAAGACATGTTTGCCAGAATCCATTAGCTGGCAGGTTTTAAGAAAAGGAGATCCAGAGTGTTTCCATCTGATGGGATGCACAGTTGTCCTCAGGGAGAGAGGATTCTGTAGATAACCTTGTTCCATGCCGTGTAGGGCTTTAAAAACAAAACAATAACAAGCACCTGAAATTGCACGTGGAGAAAAACTGGGAGTAACTTCTGCTCACATAACACACCTAGGAATGTCCAACACTGTGAGTTCCACTGCATTCTGGACTAGTTGTAACTTCTAGGTGTTCTTCAAGGGAAACCTTATTGCATGTTGCAATAATCCAAACAGGAAGTAACCAAGACATGAGGGATCATGACATAACCTCCTGGTCCAGGAAAGAGCACAGTTGGGTAGAAGATGAATCTGTGCAAAGCCTGCCCCTCTCCACCAACAGTTACCACCTTCTCATCAAGCAGTAGCCACGAGTGCAGGAGACTCTCCAAATTATGCACCAGCTTTGTCCAGTGAGTCAAAGATGACGTACCTCCAGGGCCAAAAGGGCCAAAAACCAAAAGCCACTCCATCTTGCCAGGATTGAGAAAGCCATTTCTTCTCCAACAATACCACACTAGCTTCTAGGCACTAGGTCAATACCTTAATCGCATCACCTGCTCGACCCAGAGTGAAGATATACAAGATGTCATAAATCAGATTCTCCAACGAAGCACATTCACGGGCTGGGTAATGACATTATCCAATCATCAGTGACATTATCCAATGAAGGATTTTTGTGGGCAGAAGATCCGGTAGCCTAAGCTACAATCTTTGTAAGATAAGCATGGAATGTACTTCTGGTTTTAATTGCTGTACTGCTCCTTCAGGTTTTTTCCCCCCTCCTGTTTATGGAAACTTGAAAACAGGCATGCTTTACGAGTTGAGACAAGAGCATACTGAAGATGTTGCAACCCAGGCTGGTAAATTACCTCAATAAACAGTTTCATGCAAATGTTAAAACAGGACTAGAAAGAGCCCTAAACCCTGATGCATCCCACATTGCAGGGATCTCCTGCTTCTAGTCCCTGAAGTTGGTTTCAGGAGGATACCATGGTTGATCATACAGAAAATCTCTCAGAGATCCAGAATGGTTGAACCTCCCTTGTCCCAAGTCCTCCAAAATAATCAACAAGCATAACAATATCATACTGGTACTTTACCCAGGTCTGAACCCAGACTAAAAAGGGTCCAGAAAATTCACTTCATTCATTCACAGCCTTCTGTAACTGAGCACTAATCCTTAACAAAGTGATGGAAAAGGGAAGGTTGAAGACTGCATGAAAGTTGTCATGAGCTGTTGGCCCAAGAGCCTCTTGAGAAAGGAATACCACTACTCATAAAGAGGCATTGACCACCTCTTAGAACCAACCACATGCCACCTCCCAGGAGGCCTTAACCAACCAAGAAGGGCCTGCGGCCCAGAACACAAATGGCAAACTCACAGCCATGAAAGTCCGTTCCACTTTCTCAAGACCTTCTGACTCAAACTCCTTGCAGTTAATAGGATGTGTCTCAGTCACTTCCAACAGATATGCTCAACCAAACTGGAGCCGTTAGACTTTGGCTGAGAAGAATATGTCTCTTTGGCTTTAAGAAGAATGTTCCTCCAAGTGGCCCTGCAAGAACTCTTTTCCTCCTCTCTACCAAGGAAGGACCTGCTCACCCATAACAGGGCTACTGATAGGCTATTTGCAGAATGATAAGGATGGAGAAGTAAGTATATTTCACATTGCCTTAGGGCAGGGGTGTCAAACTTGATTTTATTGAGGGTCACATCAGGGTTGTGTTTTACCTTGGGGGGACAGGGTAGGTGTGGCCAGCTCTACGTCACTTGGGTTGGGGGCACCTGTGGTGGCCCGAGCGCTCTGCCAGCAAAAACAGGCTCCCGATCTCCCTTTAAAGCCACATTGGGTCCATCAGATGCCTGGGGTAGGCAGATCCCAGATGGCTATACTTATATTCTTAAACCTTGGGACAGACTGTATGATTAAAAGCCAAGTATATACAAATAGATATTCGGCTAGTTTCAAATCAAACAGTAGCTGTGTTTGACAGACTTACCACCAGTGGTGGTATTCAGCCGGTTCGCACCATATCGGGCGAACCGGTAGCAAGAATTTGGTGTGCGTCGCTGAACTGGTAGTAAGTTCTGGCTGGCCACGCCCCCCACCCGGTTGCCCTCCTGCCCCTTAGCTCACTCACCCTGCCCGCTTGCCTGACATTCACCTAAGGTATTTCTTTCTTTTGCCTCCTGATAATCAGCTATAGATAAGATCAGCTGTGCCGGGATTCCCCTTGCTGAGGCCCAGGAAGGCAAAAAATGGAGGGTGGACCTCCATTTTTTGCCTTCCAGAGCCCCAGAGGAGACTTAAGGGAGCAACCCCCCCCCCCCGAGGCTCCTCTGTGGCTAAGAAGCTCCCAGGGTGGGGGCTGCAAAAAAAGCCACGCCCACTCGAAGTCACATGGCCATGCCCACCAAGCCACGCCCACAGAACCGGTAGTAAAAGTTTTTGAATCCCACCACTGCTTACCACCCATAGTGCCGAAGCCAAAATCGAAAATGAGCTTCACTGTGCTTTAATGTGTGAACCAGACCACCACAACACAACTTCAATTTCTATATGTGCCTAACAGATTGAAAATATTAGACACCTGCAATTGCTGAGATAAATCAGTGTCATGCCCTCTCTATTAAGTCTTCCCTTCAGCAAAGATTGGAAGAGAAGAACAGAAGATGTTTGACTAGACTTGTTTGAGAACTGGCTCCTTTTGAATAATGAAAACAGAACTTTTAGAAATAACATTTCTAAAACATTTTCCTGCCTTTTCCTGTGTTCCAACTTTTTCAAAACAGCTCGTACGATGTCTGAGTTGTAGAGGATCTTGTACAAGGAGTTGAAAACCATTTTTGATTGCTTTGCACAAGAACTGAAATTTCATGAAATTTATTTTTCAGATTTGGGGAGCAATTATTCATCAGGTGGACAGTGCATCTGTTCAATATCCAGCAGGTGTCCTGGTTGGCAATATGAATGTCATACATCCAACACTTGGTTTATTTGGAACTGATTATTTAGGTTAATAGATCAAGTCCTACAGTAGGTATCCTAACACTAACTTGGACAGACTTGTCTGCCCCCCCGCCCCCTCTTTTCCTCTTTAGGTACGCTCTGTGTTAAGTGATTTTGCTATTTTTATAACTATTGCTACCATGGTCCTAATTGACTACTGCATTGGAATCCCATCACCAAAACTGAATGTCCCAGGTGTCTTCAAGGTAGGTACTTCACCTCATCTTCTTGAATTCTTCTAAGTGCAGGTAGTGGTATGTGGAAAATATCCCTTGCCTGAATAGCTGGAACAGGAGAGTTCAAGGCCTGCCTTAGATGGTTTCTCGTATCCTTTCGGGAAGAAGGGAGGATGTCACACTTTGTGACTAATTGTATGTGGGCATTGAGGCTGCATGTATAGCTGAGTGGGAACTGAGATCCTGTTTGTAACATTCAGGATATGCTGTACTTTGTTTCTGAAGAGGAAAAAGTACTTTAGAGTGGGTGGGAATATAAGTAGGATACAAACTTGAGATTCTTGAGTTGCATTTAGCTTCTGGAAGGCTTGAAAGTGACTCAGTGCCCCAAAGTGCCATAAAATTGTGGTTTCAAATGTGGTAATAGGAGAAAAAGGCTAACTTTATAGGGAATGATTGAAGTAAGGATATTTAATGAGTTTAAATTAAATTAAATTTCACTTTTAATAGCCAGGCTTCTTTTATTTCATTCGTTTAACTCTTTCTACTTTTTACAGTGAAATTTCTAGCATGTTACTCAAAAGGTTTTGTGGGCTTAACCCAACAAAAAACATGCATAACCAGCATTTTAATTCCCTACCAAAGAGGAATCATAGGTTTACATTCATAATTGAGTGGCCATACCAAGGCCCATGTTCATCGTCCAGTGAAATGCCAGCCAGTGACATTCCTATATCATTGTCTACATATAGCTAAAACAAATTGGGGGTGGGGGTATGTGGGAAAGCAATACAAACAAATACAAACACGGCACAGTTCATTGTTGCATCTGTGTATTTTATTTTTCTGCAGCCAACAAGAGATGACCGTGGATGGCTCATTAGCCCAATAGGCCCCAATCCCTCATGGACTGTGCTAGCAGCGATCATCCCAGCATTACTCTGTACTATACTGATATTTATGGACCAACAAATCACAGCAGTTATTGTGAACAGGAAAGAACATAAACTTAAGGTAATAGAGCAGTGTGTCCAGGATAATTTGCCAAGCTTTTCTTTCTATGGCTGTCATGTGAGAAGTAAAATCACTGTGAAACAGCAGCATAATCCAGATTAAATGGAACTTTAGTTTGAGTAAAATCAGCAGGTTGTGTTATTTCAAACAGGTTTTTATACAAACGACATAGTGAAATGTATCCCATTACGGCTATAATCCAGTGTACACCTACTGTAGGGAGGTGAGGCAGGGAAACCCATAGCATACAGTAGAGATTGAAACTTTAAATCTGTTCTTAAAATGGAAATCTAAAGTTCCTGTGTGTTGTGAATCAATAAAAGTTAATAACTTAAATGCAAATCAGGGTTTGAAAACCTGCACACTTGATTGGTCCTTATACAACAACTTTGGATTGGGCCAGAACTAGTCCCTGATTGGCCACTATTTGGACTATTCTTATTGGTTATTAGTTTGAACTTGTTGCTCATCTCATTGGTTAATAAGGTAGCAGCTAACCCTATAAAAGGGTTACTGCTGCCCATAGCCTTGCTCTGTTCTGTTCTATTTACTGTTATTAAAGAGTTGAAGTCACTGGTCAGATGTCTGGTCTCCATTATTCTCCATACTTAACACTGGCGACGAAGGTGGGATTCGGAGACCGAAGAGCTGACTAACCTACAGAGCAACCAACAGAGCACGTGGTCGAACACGCACCATCAACGGCAACATGGCCAGCGGTGCCGTACCACCCGCTCCATTCGACCCAGAAACCGAAGACTGGGAGTCGTACATGGATAGGTTCCAGATGTTTCTGGAGACCAACAATTTGAAAAATGCAACAGCCGGGAAAAAAAGAGCTATATTTCTAACCCACTGCGGGCCTACCGTGTTTAAAATGGCAAAGTCACTTGCCAAGCCAGCAGAGGTAAAAGAGATGGACTGGGACGTCCTCGAGCCTTTACTACGGGCTCACTACGCGCCCACCGTGCCAACCCTAGTCAGAAGACACGAATATTACCGGAGGGACCAACAGAAAGGCGAAAGCCTTGCCGATTACATCGCGGACCTCCGCAACCTTGGAGGCCTCTGCAGATTCGCAGACTTAGAAGAAGCCCTCCGGGACCGCCTGGTACTGGGCCTAGAAGACAGCACGATCCAGAGCAAAATTATGGCTAAGGGGGACATCAGCCTCACCGATGCCCTTAAAGAAGCCTCGGCAGCGGAGGCGACCAAGAAGTCGGCAGCCCGAATGCGCCGCACCAACGCACCGCTACGTAAACTCGCCACTGATACCTCGCCTCGATCAGAGAGACACCCGGTATCAACTCACCACGAAGACCTAGAGTCCCCGTCCGACAGCGATGAGGAAGAGGTCAACCGACTTCGAACGGAGCGAGACCAGTCCACACAACACTCATTTCGACCGTGTGCCGGCTGTGGAGCCAATCACCCACGATCCGGCTGCAAATTCCTCGACGCACTCTGCCGCAATTGCGGGAGACGAGGTCACATCGCAAAGGTTTGCAGAAGCAAACAGAACTCCAAACCCCGACAGGCCGAATGCCAGTCTTCCGGATTCTTCGGCACACACCGAGAAAAATTGAACCACCAATGGGGAAACCACTCCTACAGAAACAAACCGTCCCCCACTTCCACCAGGCGCGAAGAATCCCGGCGAGAAGAGACCCACCAAACAATCACCATAGGCCACGCTACATCCCTTGATGCTGGGAAAATCCGAGTAAAGGTCGCCATCGAAAATAAACCTTGTGTGATGGAAGTGGACTCGGGATCTTCCCTCTCGATGGTATCGTGGAAAACGCTACAACAGCTCATTCCAACGATTCGCCGCCAAGACCTTAACCCTCAAAGGGTTATACTCAAAGACTATCAGGGTAACAGAATTCCCGTTGTCGGGTCCCGCAGATTCCAGGTCTCATTCAAGGACCGCACCGTCGCACTACCACTGACTGTCGTGGACCGCGACAGGCCTAGCCTTTTAGGCCTTCAATGGTTCAGACCGCTCGGAATCACTGTAGCCGGAGTCCACAGGGCCGAGAGCAGCGATTGGGAGGAAGCACTCGTGCAAGAATTCCAAGACGTTTTCGCGAACGGACTAGGCAAGTACAAGGGGACCCCGATCTCGTTTAACTTGAACCCTGAGATAGCACCCATCCGCCTTAAGCCGCGTCGGGTGCCGTTCGCCTTGAAGCCTAAAATCGACGAACAACTCGATAAGCTAATAGCGCAGGGCGTACTGGAACCCACCGACCACGCCCGTTGGGAAACCCCGATAGTGACGCCTATCAAGCCTGATGGGTCCCTAAGAATTTGCGGAGACTACCGGGCCACCTTAAACCACGCACTGCAGCAAAGTGCATATCCAGTGCCGGTAGTGCAACACTTGCTCCATTCCCTGGGTGGCGGGAAAGTTTTCGCCAAATTAGATCTAGCCCAGGCGTATCAACAATTGCCTGTAGATCCAACCACAGCCGAGGCGCAAACGATCATAACGCATAGGGGCGCATTTAAATGCAACCGGGGTAAGCGTCGCCCCTGGAATTCGGGGTAAGCGTCGCCCCTGGAATCTTCCAGAGTTTAATGGAAAGGTTGTTACAAGGGATAAGAGGCGTTGTCCCATATTTCGACGATGTACTCATCGCCGCACCTAACAAAGACATTCTAGAAAAACGACTCAGAGAGGTTTTACGAAGATTCCAAAATGCAGGCCTCAGAGTAAAAAAAGATAAATGCCAGTTATGTACCGAAAAAGTAGAATTTCTGGGATATCTCCTGGACAGCCAAGGAATCCATCCCACCGAAGACAAATTACGGGCAATTAAAAAGGCCCCCACTCCAAGGAACAAGGCAGACCTATAGGCGTTCCTTGGACTTATCAATTTCTATAATGTCTTTTTACCCCACAAAGCAACGGTAGCTGAACCATTGCATAGACTATTAGACAAAAAAGCAACATGGGTGTGGGGACAACGGGAACAACATGCTTTCCAACAAGTAAAGAAATTGCTAACTTCTGATTCTGTACTTATGCAGTACAACGAGACTCTGCTGCTCACTATCACGTGTGCCGCATCACCTTTTGGGATTGGGGCAATTCTGGCCCACGTATTACCAAATGGAGCGGAAGCCCCCATCGCGTTTTTTTCGCGAACCTTAGCTAAAGCTGAACGAAATTATAGTCAGCTGGACAAAGAAGCTTTAGCTATTGTGGCTGCAGTTAAAAGATTTCATGAATATGTTTATGGCCGTGCGTTTACAATAATCACTGATCATAAACCGCTACTGGGAATCATTGCGGGTAATAAACCAACCCCGTATATATTGTCCCCCAGAATGACCCGTTGGTCTGAATTCTTGGCGGCCTACAACTACACCTTGCAACATCGCCCGGGGAAATCAATTCTCCACGCTGATGCATTGAGCAGAACGCCGCTTCCAGACTCTGTTGTAGATCCAGCCCCCACCATCTCAACACTACACATCGAAGCTCTACATGTGCCACCATTGACGGCTAGAGACATTGCCTTTGAAACAAAACGTGACCCAGTTCTGCAACACATCCTACGCTGGGTTGAACGGGGGTGGCCGACAGACCAAATAGCACCGGAATGGGCGCCTTTCAAAAGCCGCCAAACCGAGCTGTTTTCCCAGAAAGGCTGTATCTTGTGGGGCGATCGAGTCGTAATCCCTAGCAAATTGCAACAAACTGTTTTGGCGGTATTGCATGAAGGACATCCGGGTATCGTGTGGATGAAAGCACTTGCACGCAGCTACGCTTGGTGGCCGGGAATCGACAAAAGAATCGAGGCCTGGGTCGCTACTTGTCAACATTGCCAAGACGTCAGCAACGCTCCGCCTAAAGCAATCCCGACCGAATGGGAAACTCCGAGGGGACCATGGTCCCGTATTCATATTGACTTTGCGGGGCCTACCAAAGGACACACTTTCCTTATTACTGTCGACGCCTATTCGAATTGGCTCGAGATCCATCGAATGAACACAACTACAACGGACTCAGTTATCAATAAATTAAACAGACTATTTGCCACACATGGGTTCCCAGACGTGTTGGTCTCGGACAACGGCCCACAGTTTACTGCGTTACCCTTTGAACAATATCTTGCTGATCGGGGCATCCGCCATGCGCTAACCTCGCCCGCGCACCCTGCGGCCAATGGACGTGCAGAACGCATGGTACAATTTGTAAAAAAGACCCTTCACAAAATGGAATTCGGCAACATCGACGAGAAAATCAATCGAATTCTCTTGTTACAGCATATCACGCCCCACAGCGTGACCAACAAAACACCCGCTGAACTTCTTATGGGGCGGAAACTACGATCACACCTTGACCGGCTCCACCCCGCATTCGCACCGGAAAAGCCCTTCGGCTCCAGCAGCAAATGCCGGGAATGTAAGGTAGGCAATTTAATCTTTGCCAAAACTTTTCCAGCGACCCGTTGTGGATACCCGCAACCGTTACCCACCTCACCGGGCCTAGATCTTACCGCCTGCTAACAGACGATGGGAGGGTGTGGAAACGCCACATAGACCAACTCCGATCGAGATTACCACCCAGCGCCCATGACTCCCCGGGTTCACCAACTCAAGGGGGAGGAAATATCGAGGGAATTGACTTTGATATGACAAATAGCAGGCCAACGGAAACCCTACGGCCCAGCGAGACACCGGAACGTGAAGCGGGGAGGGAGTTGACTTTTTCAGGGAACTTTAATACGGGGGAAACCGAACTGCAAAACCCCGAAGAAACACGGAGTAGCGGAGACAACCAGAGTGAAAGCAGCACGGAATCACCGTGCAGCGAAACAGAATTTAATAAAGATCATCCAAACGCTCCACTGGAACCGGACCTTAGACCAAAACCGGTGGAGCCTCGGAAATCATCCAGGCAGACCAAACGGCCTGTCTTTCTTGAGGATTTTATTACAGCTCCCCTCAAACGGAACCCAAGGGGGAGGGGTGTTGTGAATCAATAAAAGTTAATAACTTAAATGCAAATCAGGGTT